TTTGGGACATACTACAAAAGTAATTCTTGTTTATCTTAAATTCAAATTAAACCGACATTCTGTATTTTTTTATTGAGGGATAGTTGATTTACAATATTAGTTTCAGGTGTACAGCGTAGTGATTCAGTATTTTTACAGATTATACAACATTAAAAGTTATTACATGATAATGGCTATAATTCCCTGTGCTATACAATATACTTTTGTTGCTTATCTATTCTCTTTATAGGAGTTTGTATCTCTTAAACCCATACCCCTAATTTGTTCCTCCCTCCTTCCCTCTCCCCTTTGGTAACTATAAGTTTGTTTTCTATGTCTGTGAGTCTATTTTGTGTATATGTTCACTTGTATTATTTTTTAGATTCCACGTGTAAGTGATATCATATAGTATTTTTATTTTTCTGTCTGATATTTCACTAAGCATAATATTCTCTAGGTCCATCCATGTTGCTACAAATGGCAGAATTGCATTCTTGTTTATATATTGTATATATATACACACCACATCTTCTTTATCCATTCGTCTATCGATGGGCATTTGGGTTGCTTCCACATCTTGGTTATTGTAAATAGTACTGCTGTGGACATTGGGGTGCATGTGTCTTTTCAGATTAGTGTTTTCATGTTTTTTTTCGTCTATATACTCAGGAGCGGGATTGCTGGATCCTATCGTAGTTCTGCTTTTGGTTTTTTGACGAATCTCCGTACTGTTTTCCATAGTAGCTGCACCAATTTATATTCCCACCAACAGTGTCCAAGGGTTTCCTGGCATTCTGTATTTTTATTTGCTAAATCTGTCCACCTATCAGAGGAGGCTAAAGAGGAGATAGCTCCTGGTGACAGACACCATCTGAGCCCTTAGTCTCTCCCTCCATTGGGAATCACTGTGATAATGAAATAAATTCAAACTTACCTAAAGCCAAACTACCTAGGGATTTACAGCTGCAAAACTGCTAAGGAATTTTCTGGACCTTCTCAAAGTCTTGGCCTTGGGAAGCTTGGAAAGAAAGCCTCCTAAGCGTGTCCTATGCTTCCTCCTGTCCTGACACCGTGCTCAGGGTCAGGGATTAAAGGTTTATGGAACAACAAGTTTCTGGGCTTAGCTCCCTTATAATAAATTGTTTTTATTTCTTTGAGCATCTACTATTGTTACCGACCAGGGTTCTCGGCCTCTTTAATCAATAGAAATTGATCAGAGGCCAGACAAGAAATTCAGGCAAGGCGTTATTGGGGCCCCTGCTGTCGCAGGGGGGAGTGGGAACAAGCAACAGTTGCTTGTGCCCCGAGGGGGTTGCGAGCTGCTTCCTTGCAATGGGGTGAGGGTAGGGGTGTGTCCAGGGGTTGGGCCAGAGGGATGGCTTAGGTGTTTTGCCCACCCCTTAGGTGGTGGTGTGTGCAGGGGGCATGCGAGCAGCGCCCTGCTTTTGCTCCCGATGCCCTGCTTTTGCTCCCGATGCCCTGCTTTTGTTCCAGGCTCTTCAAAAGTGGCAGTTGGGTTTTTTGGTCTCTTTGTATCTTTTGTCCAGAATTTGCCCCAGTTGTCCGTGCACGCAGTTATTTTTAGTCCCATATAGTTTCTTTGTATTTTGTTGCTGGAGGAGAGGTGTGTCCAGGTGCAAGCATCGCAGCCCTGCAGCAAAGGGTCCCAGGTCCCAGCCTGTCTCACTATGTGCTAGACACTGTACTGGGGACTTCACTTAAATGACTTCCCACCCTTCAAATGTCTTGGACTTTGGTAACATCACACCCATTTCACAGGTGAGAAAACAGCGGTCTGGAAAGGTGGCATCCTTGGCTTTAGAGCACAGGCTGAGAAAGTGAGAAGCGGGGAATTTTAAACCGGTCCTCACACCTGCAAAGCCGGCGCTGGTCCCTTACAGCTTGCCACCTCTTGGCTCCCACACCTTTGCCTGCTGGTCAGCCCTTTGGAAGGAACCCAGTGCTATTCACGACCCTGCCTTCCTGTCTCAGCCTGCAGGGACCCCCAGGAGCTCCCCACCTCCTCCTTGAAACAAGCCGCTGAACATCTGGAAGCCCTAGGAGGCCGTTTTCTTTGGCAACCCTCGCTTTAAGGGCTCGTGGAAATTCTTGCCCCTCCTGCTGGGCCGTGAGCCGCTCAGGTACCCAGGCCTCCGGAGGCCAGAGGAGCGGGCCGCATCTGCTTCCCATTACCTTGCGGAGGGACTGCACAGCCAGCTGCGGGTAACAGGAGCCCCTGGCCTCTGATTTACAGCCCATTTGTATTGAAGCCTCGGGAGCAATTATTTGGATGGAGCCTGGCGAGGGTAATAAGAGCTCTTCAGAGCCGAGAAGAGCGGATCTCAACTGGCTGGCCTCCCTCCCCAGGTGGGTGAGAATCACCTGGTTGAGGACCTTCTTATTTATATAAGTTACCAAACTCTTATGGACCTGCCCGTGTGCCCAGCACTATTTTGAGCACTTCATGAGTATTCACTCAGTGAAGTCTCCTTGGGGGGAGATGCTATTATCATCCCATTTTACGGGTGAGAAACTGAGGTCCCCAAAGATTACATAACGTGCTGCAGTCACCTAGCTGGGAACATGGGCTCATTTATCCACGTTTCATTTATCCAGTCGTTGGTTGGTGGACCTTGCGTTGTTTTGGCTTATGAATAACGCCGCTGTGAACATTCGTGTAGTTTGTGAAAACCCAGAGGAAAACTGGTAATCTGACAGGATGTTGTGTAGGAAGTAGGAATCGTGTGGCTTAGGGAGTGGGCACTTTGGCTGGAAACGTCTGGCTTGTGACTGCTTATGAGCTCTGTGACCATGAACAATTAATTTGATATTTTCTATGCCTCTTTTTCCTCAACTGTCAAATAGAAGTAATACTGGTACCTTCTTAATTGGATGGTTATGAGGGTTGGATTAGCCAGGGTTCTTTAGACAAACAGAGCTCATAGGATATAGATGTATATATGATTTATTATATGGAATTGGCTCGTGTGATTATGGAGGCTGAGAAGTCCTACAATTTGCCATCTGTGTGCTGGAGACCCAAGAAAGCCAGTGGTTCTAAGAACTGGGGGCGGGGGGTGGGGCCCAGTGGAGTAAGTCCCAGCTAAGGACCCGGAAGACCAATGTCTCAACTGCGCAGTCAGGCCGAGAGAGCAAATTCCCTCTTCCTCTGCCTTTTAGTTCTTTTCAAGCCTTCAAGGGATTGAATGAGGCCCTCCCACATTGGGGAGGGCCATCTGCATTACAGTCCACTGATTTAAATGCTCATCTCTTCTGAAAACACCCTCACAGGGGTACCCAGAAATGATGTTTAATCTGGGCATCCCAGGTCCTCATTAAGTAGACATAGAAAACTGTCACAAGGGTAAATTGAGATACTGTATATTGGTTGTTTTTTATGTGGATGAATATAGAGCTCAGGAGAGCAGAGGGAGTGGGGAGGGTGGGCAGGTAACTCGGCTGGAAGGGAAGTGGTGGGGAGTCAGCGAGGGCTCCCTGGAGGAGGAGGCATCTAAGCTGGGGCAAGTAAGAGTCAGCTGGGGGATCATGACATCCCTCCTCCCTCACCTCCAGGTCAGGGAATCTGACAGCCAGAGGAAGGCTCCAGGCAGGCAGCCATCCCACCACCTCGGCCTCCCTGCTGGCAAGTCTGACACTGGGGGGAAGACGCCTGGGACAAGAGGTAACACAACATGGTGGTTAAGCTCAGAGCTTAGGTCAGACCGGGTCACCTGGTGTACAGATCCCCTGGCTTCCCTACTGTCTACCTGGGTGCCCCTGGGCACCCTGCTGAACCTCTCTGAGCCTCAACATCCTTATCTCTTAAATGGGGACAGTGGTGACAGTACTGACAGCACAGGAGAGTCGTGAGAATTCGGTGGGGTGATGTAGGGAAGCAGTGGCCCAGGGTGCCTGCTGGGTCCGTGTCAGTGGTCAGTCTTGGCTGAATCCCTCTCTATCTGCACCGTCCCGTTGCCTCCAGTGTCCTCCCCGAGCAACGGCAAAGCAGGCAACTGTTTTTGAACCCGGGGCTGCTGTTTAAAGAGCTTGGAGTGGAGACTGGGACAAGGGATTCGAGTCGGGGTCAGGCCTGAACCTGCTGTGTGGTCTTGGGAAAGTGAACCATCCCTGCTGAGCCTGGGGGGAAACGGCTGACTGATGGGTGAAGGGGAAATGAGATAAAGGAGGTCAAGCCCTTGCTGTTTCCTGTCTCCCTGGGAATCCCTAAGAACATTCTCCAGCCTCCTCCTCCGCCCTCATCCCTCTCGGGGGCTTAATTGGGCAGCTGCAGTCACTCGGTACTTAACCTTCTCCCCATCTGCCCTCCAGGGAAAGAATTAACGTTAATCCCCAGAGCTGCTTCCCGTTCCCTGTCAGGGAAGCCTGTGAGTGCCGGGAGCAGGGAGCCAGCCCTGCTCGGGCCTCCCAAGTAGCCCAGCCGAGCTCGGAGCCCAGCATCGCGGCCCTTGGTCCTGGAGTCATCCTGGAGTTGTGGCGGGCAGCCCTGCAGCCAGCAAGCCACCTTCCTCTTCACCCCATCTTTGTTCCCCTAGCCCAGCACTGTCCGGTGGAAGTATAACGTGAGCCACGTAAATAATTTTCAATTTTCTAGTAGCCATGTTAAAAAAAATAAAAAGAAACAGATGAAACTTTAATAGCACATTCTGTTTAACCGAAAGTATTTCAAATGTGATCTTTTCAACATAGAACCAATATGCACAATTATGAACAAGATATTTTACGTTCTTTCACGCCTAGTAAGCCTTGCAAACGTGGTGTGCATTTTACGCTTTTACAGCGCATCTCAAATCGGATGCTAAGTTTTCGTGGGAATACTTGATCTGTATTTAGATTTCACAGAATGAATCTTTCAAAGAGTAGATTCACCTACCTAAGTTGTTTCAGACCCAGAGAAAAGTATTCCAACAACTGAACAAGTATCTTTTTCAGTTTAAATGTAAATTAAAATTAAATAAGAGGAACAATTCAGCTCATTAACTGCACTCTTATCGCATTGCCAGGTCTCACGCGTGGCTGGTGGTTACCATACTGGGTGGCACAGCTCTGGCCTTTGCACCCAGGTGCCCACGGCTGCTCCCCAGCTGACCTCCCAGAGAAGGCGTGTGGAGCAGTAGAGGTAGAAGAAACTCTGCCTCCAATTTGCTGTGTGACCTTGGGTAAGTTGCTAGACCTCTCTAGGCTTTTCTTTTGCCAGCTGTCAAACTGAGTGCCTACACCATGCTCTGTTGTAGGCTCTGGGAGTGGCTGGGAAAGAGCACACACTTCTCCTCCCAGAGCTTCATTCTGGCCTGGGAATGGTAATAATAATAATGACAGCTAACACCAGGTGAGCCCCTTACTATGTGCCAGCTGCTGTTGGGTGCCCTCAATGTTCCCCATCTCCTCTAACCCTCACGGTAACTAACTTTGTGGGGCAGGTGTTAACGTCACCGTCTCACGTGGGAAAACAGAACCGCACAGAGCAGTTAAGAAACTTGCCCAAGGTTGCCCAGCCAGGAAGGGGCAGTGCTGGGATTTGAACCCAAGCTGTCTGGCTGTAGTGCGAATGCTTTCATCACCTCCTTTTGCCTCCAATGAATAGAGCGGCAATATGAGTGCTGGGAAGAGAAACAAGGCAGAAGAAAGGAAGGGCTGTTATTTTAGATCAAGAGGACAGAGGCCACCTTGCTCTCCAGGCTGACCAGACGTTCTCTAACATCCCTAACACGGCAGCTTGTCAAGGGCTGATCCCGCCCCTGGCTTGTCAAGGGCTGATCCCGCCCCTGGCTTTGGAGGGCTAAGGGAGGCCCCAAGGCCGAGCGCGATGTATCCGAGTCTTTGAGGTGGCTCCTGGCTCAGATTTGCCCTGCAGCGCTGAAGGGCTGGGCTCCTGACTTGCCAAGCACAGCCCGGCCCTGCCAGGCAGGTGTGTCACTCAGGCTGGGAGCCAGTGGCCAGCAGCTGCTGGGCTGAGCCACGCTTGTGCCAGGGACCGCAGTCCAGAGAGCGGCCAGCCCCCAGCATGTACGGAGCACATTTTCTTTAGTGATGTCACTTTCCTTCCCTGGTTCAGCCGTCTTTCCCATTCCCCTCCCCTCTCCCTTTCTGCCCTCTCATCTCCCTCCCCTCCCCGTCTTTCTCTCCCGCTCCCTCACTCCTTACTTCCCATCCATCCATCCACCCACCCAATATTTACTGAGGGCCTACTATGTGCCAGATACCGTGTTAAGCTCTGGGGACACTGCCGTGACTAAGGCGCTTCTGTCCTCAAGGCACAGTATGAACAATTAGGGCGGCACCATAAATAAAACTGCAGTATCAGCTTAGAGAAGAGATGTGTGCTCTTCGAGAACAATACTGAGATGAATTTTGGGAATTAGATCCTCTTTGTACATGGAAAGAGACTGTAGACAAAATTAAAATACATGAGATTGGAAAACTCTTTGCACCCTCTGGGATGCACAGGGAGCCCGCATCTGTGTACAGAGCACGTTGCTCAAGGCCTGGCCCTGAGCGCCATTCCCTTCATAGCAGGGCCTGCTCTCAGTTTTTTCTTTGTCCTTTTTCTTTTCTTTTTTTGTCTTTTTTTTTCCTTTCTCATCTTCTATTCTACATTAAATAATAGTGCCCTGTGAGTAGATGAGGGCGTTAACTTCCTGCCCCAATGAGGTTCATCAAGAACAGATATGTCATGGGATCAATTCACTATCAATTCATTGACAATTTATTGAGCACCTACTACGTTCCATAGGGTGATGCTCCAGTGTGGAGCAAGACAGAATTCCTGACCTCAGGGGTTTAGAATTTAGTGTGGGTGGCAGACAGGACGCTAAGCAAAGGTTCTTTGGGGTGATGAGTGCGATCCAATCCAGGGATGTAGAACCCGCTGATACAGGGGGCCAACTGTATTTACCATTTTATATAAGGGACTTGAGCATCCGCGGATTTTGGTACCCACGGGGTCCTGGAACCAATCTTTCCACTCATAGGGAGGGACGGCTGTAGTTCCATCTTGCAGGAGTCTAGCAAGCAATGGCAGTGGGGAGGTAATTGGGTCAGATTACAAACGGTATAATACGCCACACCAAGGGGGTTGGACATTGTTCAAAGATCAGTGGGAAGCCTTTGAAGAATTATAAGCCAGAGAGTGGCTATCTCACATTTGTCTCTTAGAAAGATTACGTTGGCTGCATCCTGAATAACGGAGTGGGGAAACCTGGAGATGGAGCGATCGGTTAAGGGGCTGTTGCCAAAATCCAGGCGAGAACCTATAGTGGCTTAAAATAAGGAAATGGCAGTGGGGATGGAGAGAAATGCATGGAGGTCAAGGTCAGGATCAAGGCGAATGCCCGTAGGGACTGCTTCTTTGGGGCAGGAGGGATCCAGGAGGACCCCAGCTTCACGCCTTGAGCAGTCGCGGGGGCTGGTGGGGCTGGCAGGGAGCGGGACATTGGGTGGGGAACTGTTTGGGAAGAGGAGAGGTTGGATGATGAGTTGGGGATCCTTGTGAATCTCACAGTGGCGGTTTGCACGAGGCAGTTTCATGAATCGGAAGGTGAGGGGGAGGTTTGGGCTGCAAATCTAGACCTGGGAGGTAAAGCCAGACAAACAGGACTGGAAGCAAAGAGCAGCTGCAGTAGCTCACAGAGCCTGTGCCATTCAAGGAAAGAAGGCACCGAACATTTGACACTGGGTTGGGTGTTTGGATCAAGAGCCAGGAGATTCCTGGGTTCTTGTCTGGCACTCGCTGGCTGTGTGAGTTTGGATGGGTCACTTCTCTCTGGGCGTCAGACTCGCCATCTATAAAACACGGCACTTGGATAAGATCAGTGATCTTCCACTGTCCCTCCGAGCCCTCGGAGTTTCAGGAAGTCTTTCTGTGGCCATGGCAGCGGCTGAGGAGGTGTTGGTTGGCTGTGGCTTGGGACTGTCACCTTCTCTTCAGGCACAGGAGTTCCGCCGTGATTTGTTTTGTAATTTGGCCCTCTAAGTTTTGATTTGAAGAAAGGGCTCCATGACTCAAGAGAGGCTGATGGGGAGATGACCTCTCATGTTCCATCTGGCAGAGGGTAGAGTCACACCCAGTTGGGAGTTTCCCTGATGCTAGAAAGAGTGACGTCTCCATGAGTTGGAGGGAATTAACAACAACAAACCTCCCGACGCCGTTCAGTACAGGCTACAGATCCAGGGAAAACGGATGATCCCTGAACCCAAGATGTCCCCGTGGACTCGTCTGGAGGGTTAGCATCAGCAGCAAGCACTCCAGGGATAACAAATGAGATTCTGCTCTAGTGATACTTGCAGTTGATGAGAAGGTTGCCTGGAGCTGCACTGAGAAGGCTTCTGAGGCTGCGTCTCGGTGAGGAGAAAGTGCTGTGATTGATTGGCAATGTCTGCCCTGGGTAGCAGATGAGTGTAGTGGTGTGTGTGTCATGTATCTGCTAGCTTTGATCTAATCTTTGCTCTTGACCAGGACATGAACTCTTTCATCCCTTTCCTAGTCCCTGGCTGCTCTATTGTGCTTTCCCTTCCTTCTCCTTCTCTTGCCATTGAGTATTTCAAAGGTTCATCCTGGCCCACTTCCCAGTGGACCAGTCACTTCAGGAAACGAATGGGCTGCTCTTTGGAGGAAGCCAGATCACTCAATGAGTTCCCATTTCTGCAGAATTAGATGGTTAGTCATGCTGACCAGGGGCACAAGGTGGGCTCATGGCCAGAGAAGTACAATGCTTCTTTGCTGAGACCCAGGGCGTGGGCCTTCCTTCTGCAGATATTCAAGGCCATGTTCAGGAGGCTCTTGACACCACCCTTGATCCTGCTTGCTGTGTTGTAATGGGGGCCTGCCAGCAGTCATGGTGGGGGTGAAGGCAGGAGTGAAAAATGGGCCCTCTATTCCACCTCAGGAAATTGAAAACCTGCCGTTATCTTTAACGTTTTAAAAAAGTAATCTTGATTACATGAGGAAACCATGCTTATTGCAGAAAGGTTGAAAAACGTGAATCAGCAGACCTACCTGTCATCCTAATACCTAGAGAAAAGCACTATTTCAGCAAGTTGGTGTTTGTCTTTCCAGACGTGGGCAGCGCGGACACTAGTCCATCAGAGTAGATGATGGCTATAGCCTTGGGGTGGGCGGGGTGGGACCCCTGCTGGGCCAGGCATTAACCCTCGAGCTGCTGGATTACGGGACGGTCTAGGGTCCTGGGTCTGGGGCCAGGACAGGTGGGGTGACATGTGGTGCGTGGAGTTAAGGCAGCAACGTTTATCAACCAGACTGGAAATAGTTTAAGTTTTGAACGACTTGAGCTGGTCCTTTCCGGATAATGATCGGTGGTGCCCATCCTCACTCCTCTGAGGGTGTGACTGGGCACACTGGCCTGGGCTGGGGAGGGTGATTGGTGGGCGGAGTTAGGAGGCCACTTCCCAGCCCGTGTTTCTATTTCCTTTTGGAGCGTTGTTGATCCTGGAGGTTGAGCTGGGCCACACATACCCCCTTATCTTTTTAAATTAATAATATTTCCCCCAACAGGAACCAAGCACTTCCCTAGAAGAGAAGAATCTAGGATTCCGGCCTTCACCTTGGGATTCAAAGGTAAAACCTCCTTACCTTCTGGGCTCGGCTGGCTTTCATCAAGGCTAGATAGTCAGAGAGGACCACAGGATTCTAGATTCTAGATTTCCTTATAAGGGAAGGGAGAGCCTGGATAGAGCCAAGACTTAGCACTCAGGCCCAGGGAGCTGGAGACGAGGGTTCTTCCGAACGTGGTTTGAGGCGAGTACTAGAGCCCACCCTAGCTGAGTGGGGACCCCATGGGGCAGGGGAGTACGTGACACTTAGAGGCTCTCACTCTCTGAAGCTCGGGCAGCACTGTTGTAGGGCCCATCTCAACTGCGGGAGCCATCACACCCTGATCTGAAGGGCCAATGAGGTCTCCCCAGATGTGAGGTCCCAGCATGATCAGCTCAGGGAGGGGTAGACCAAGGCAGGGAACCAGCAGCAGCTGCAGGGTAAAGTCCTAAAGACCGGATTCCCCACCTCCACCAGGTGGCAAAGATGCTCAGGACTCATTTGCCAAGTAGTTTAACTTAGTGGTTAGGAGTGCAGATTCTGGAGCGAGACTGCTTGGGTTTAAATCCCATCTCTACTACTTATTAGCTGTGTGGCTTTGGGCAAGTGGCTTAACCTCTCTGTTCCTCAGTTTTTTCACCTGTGAAGTGGGAGATACATAGTACCTATCTTAATAGAGTTATTGTGGGGATCAAATTAATTAATATATGTAACTTTGTACATAACTGGTTGTTACAACTAATTGTTGACTCACATACATCCCTGGGTCGTTTTGAAAATGCAGCATTTGGGAAGGGAAACCCTGGGAAAAGCTGGAAATTCTTATTGATTTGGAAAGCAGGGCTTTGAGCTATTGTGTTTTAGGCAAGTGGTTCTGAAACTTGGAAGTGCGTCAGAATCATCTGGAAGGCTTGCTAAACCAGATTGCTGGACCCTATGGCCAGTAGATCTGGGCAGGGGCTGAGAATCTGCATTTCTCACAAGCTCATAGGTGGTGCCCGGGCTGGAGGTCCACAGGCGGTACTTGGAGCAGCATTAGTTTTGCAGTTGTTATAAGTGCCCTGCATTTGTTTTCCCAGGTGTGAAACCCATCGCAAGCCAATTATATTATACCTGTCTTTCTACTAAAGTGAGATCTTACCTGACATTTGGTAACCAGACTGTAAACTTGACAGGGGCAGAGGCCATGACCTTACTCCCCAGTGTATATGTAACATCTGACATGTGGGAAGTGCCCAATATATAGCTGTTGAAGGGAGGAAAGAAACACACTGTCTGCGCTCAACAATATTCTTGTGTACATTTTTCCTGTTAATAAATATTCTTCCCCAGCATTGTTTGGTTGGTTGCATAGTTTGCCCTTGTATGGATGTAAGTGGGAGAACAGCTTGACTTTGCTGGAACAGAAAGGGGAGATGGATTCTAAGAGGCAGAGTGCCTCAGCGCCTAGAACCCAGGACAGGACCCGGAGACCTACGTAAAGATCTTGCCCTTTGTCTGTTCTCTGTACCTCCCTGTGATCATTTGGTTCCTTTCCTTTGTCTTTTGCTGCACCTTTGTCCACATGACATCCAAGATGGCTGCCTACACCTTCCAGTTCTCTTGTTACAGCTCCTGCCATGCGGCGAGTCAGTGTGTCTGTCTGCTGTTACTCTCTCTCCTAGTAACCCCAGAGGGGACTCTGATCGGCTCTTCTGAGGTCAGGTCCTTATTCCTTATCCAATCAGGTAGAAGGGCCGCATGGTTCCAGTATGGCTGCCAGGTGCCACTGTGGTGAGGGGTACAGTGGAATGGGTCATGGTCATCCTCACGTGATCCATGCCAATTGCCTGCCGTTCGTCTCTCCATCTCTCTGCTTAAACCTGATTTCAGTTTCAATCTGGTGACCAGGATTTGGTTTCTGTGGACTTTTCTGGGCTCAGAGCAGGGATTTGACTGACTTAACCCCATCTCTCGTCCATTAGTGATAACGACCCATGGCAGTATCCTAGGTTTGTCTGATGTCTTTGAACATTTAATCTGTGCAACGTGTTTTTGAGGGAGGCAGGAGGTTTCACCCAATGAGGCCTGTTTGGCACCAGCAAGTCTGTTCATGATCTGAAATGCAGCTGAAAAAATAAATATAATTAAAAAGATCGGGGCTTCCCTGGTGGCGCAGTGGTTGAGAATCTGCCTGCCAGTGCAGGGGACACGGGTTCGAGCCCTGGTCTGGGAGGATCCCACATGCCGCGGAGCACCTGGGCCTGTGAGCCACAACTACTGAGCCTGCACATCTGGAGCCTGTGCTCCGCAACAGGAGAGGCCTCGACAGCGAGAGGCCCGCGCACCGCGATGAAGAGTGGCCCCCGCTCGCCGCAACTAGAGAAAGCCCTCGCACAGAAATGAAGACCCAACACAGCCAAAAATAAAATAAATTTATTAAAAAAAGAAAAAAGATAGCTCAGGCCAGCTCTCCCCGAGGCTGCTTTACACGGGCGCATAATGAATGCCAAACTTAGTGCAGCAGTGCCAGAAAGCAAAATAAATTCTTGGAGTTGGTCTGTTTCCTGCCTGCAATACATTTGCTTGTTCCAAACAAATATATTTGTCAATACAACACAATTAGGAAGGCTGAGCCAATCAGACCATCAAATATCCAGAGAGGCAGATCGTGGCTTCCATAAGCCCTGCTGGACGGAGCCAAGGTCTGAGCGTATTATGACCAACTCAGTTGTGGCCCGGGCAAGCCTTGCATTCTTCGCCAGGACAAGCTTTCTCATCTGTCCTGGTTACTGAGAGAATTCAACCTCTTTTTTCTTCTTTCTCAATGTTACTCATAACCCTTGAGGCAGCACCCGCCTCCCGCCGCCCCCCCCCCACCCCCCCCCCCAACCTTTTAAGTTAATTTGCTTCCTTTTTTTTTTTGCCAACAGCTAGAAACAACTGCTGACATATACAGTTTTTAGAAGGAAGGCCTGCCAGAATGGGACTAATGATGAGTTTTGATAATAATATCATTTATGTCATAGATGCCAGGCTTTGGGCAACAACCCTGGGATAGGCATTACTAGTGCCATTTTGTAGATGAGGAAACTGAGGCTCAGGGAGGCCAAATGGCTTGCTGGAGACCACACAGCTAGTGAGTAGCTGAGCTGAGAGATTCAAGCTCTAGTCTTGCTGATGCTAGAGCTTGTGTCAGGACTATTGATGTTAAGAGACATAGAACCCAACTCAACTTGTTTTGACACAATAAGAGGATTGAATGGCCTTTGTGAATTTACAGCCCAGATGTGGGTTTCAGGCAAGGCTTAATCCAGCCATTTTGCCCAAGGACCTGGTTTCTCTCTGCTCTGCCTGCTTTCATTCTTAGGCTCCATGCCACTGGGTTTACAGTCCGCTGCTCTGGACTCTCCCCTCGTGGAAGGAAACAGCTGCAGCAGCTACGTCCTTTGAATCCTCAGCCTGGGGAAGAAAGAACTTCCCCTCTGGGAGCTCCCATGGAAGATAGAGGAACTTCTACTCTCAAACTCTTGGTGTCCCATTTGCTTGGAATGAGCCAGGTGCCCATCCCTGAACCATCTCGCCTGGCTGAGGGAGGCGACGTGCTGATTGCCACAGGCTGGAGTGGGGGTGATGTCAATCTCACGCAGGCCACGTGGCTGAGCAGGGCAAGGGGCAGCATCCTGGGTGCTGTCCTCAGGGGAAATAGCCTAAGTAGTTAACCAACCAGCCTGGCACAGGCACTCACCAGTCACAACCAGTGCGACCACAAAGACCTGTTAACCATTTGCTACTGAAAGCAAGCTACTGGTTTAGCAGCATTGGCATAATTTGGGAGGCTGTTGGAAATGTAGAATCTTGGGACCTTCCCCTGATGTATGGAATCGGAATATGCATTTTTACAACATCTTTAAACCTTTAACAAGGTTTGGCAAGTTGGGGAACCTGATTTAAGAGAATGGTATAGCAGGTAGGCTAGGGTTTCTGCTCCATCACTTAGCTGTCACTTTGCTGGGTCGCTTCAGGCATGGGGTAATGCCACCACCCTCAGAAAATTGTTGAGGGGAATAAAGGAAATAACTTCCGTAGCGTGTCTGGCATGTGGTGGGTGCTTCATAAGCATTGATCCCCTCTCCCCACCCATAATGTTTATAAATGAGGAAACTGAGTCAGGTCCCCATATGCCCAAGACACAGAACTGGACCTCGGGTGCCCTCAGCGCTAGTCTGGGGATTTGCTGTCCTCAGTACACCAGAGATTCTAAGCCTTGGCTACCCGTTGGAATCATCCAGGGAGTTTAAAAAATCTCAGTGCCCAGGTATCACCCCAAATCAACTCAGAATCTCTTGGGGGAGACCCAGGCATCAGTACTTTTAGATTCCCATGGGCCATTCCTCTGGGCAGCCAAGGTAGAGAGCCAGTGCCTTCCACTTTCTTGCCTCCTAAATTAATTTGACTGTAAGAAGGCTCTGCTTTGAACGCTTCTGAGTGGCTGGCTGCAAACCCACTGCTGGTGAGGAGTCCTGCCGTCCAACACTGAACATGTGCTCTGCTGGTCTCTAGGAGGGGATGCGGGGGAATGTGTGCTGCCTGCTTCCAGCTCACGTGCCTCAGACATTCAGCAGACATTCAGCTTTTGCACCTGGGAGCCAATGGGCTCGGACCCTTGGCCTTGACTCCAAGGATTCCGTGGGGCTGGTCGGAAGCAAAGACCATCTCTCTGCACCTGAGTGAGAAGGGGATGGACCAGATATTCTATATCTTTTGTGTGTTATTGATCCCTTGGCATCTACGGAAACTCCTGGACCTTTCTCAGAAACATGTTTTCATTTTATGCGACAGGACTAAGGAAAGCAGTTGTTTGGAAATACAATTTTCAAGGTATTAAGGAAAAAAGTTATGATTAAAATATATGTGCTTTATTAACATATTAAATAACAAAGATCTAGCAGTGAGTTTAGTAACTGTTGGAAGTTCAGAGTAGTGGTGAGCTACATAATATTTTAAGATGTCTGCAACAACTGTCCTGTGATATAA